AACGAATGTCTAAAGATACTGAAAATAATGTATTGTTAGAATTTTTATAGGAAGTACGAATTAATCGTATTAAATGCTTAATAGTTGAAGTGTTAATTAACAGTTAAAATGACCGATTTCGATATTCTTATTTCGCAATTATTGATATCTTAAAAGCATCGAATATTCCAAATGATCTTGACATTAGATAGTTTCACTTGAATGCTATAACGAGTGTCCTAAGAAACTGAGAATAATCTATCGTTACCATTCTTATAGAAATTACATATCAATCATATTAAATACTTAGTAATTCTACTGTTAATTAACAGTCAAAACGACCGTTTTAGATTCTTTTCTTTCGCAATTATTGATATCTTCAAAGCCTCGAATACTGTAAAGAACATTCCAAGAAACTAAGAATAATCTATCGTTACCATTTTCACACAGACTACATATCAATCATATTAAATGTTCGGTAGTCCCAGCGTGAATATCCCATCGCAAACAACCACCGCCGAAACCCAGACGGAAGGTGTGTCGCACGCGATGCGTTAAAGGACGGTAACACCAACAATAATTTAACCTTTCGTCGGTTTCTTCCATTTGTCATCCGCACAAAAGCCCGTTCGTCTCGCGTGTGCGAAACGTGTAAAACGCGAGCACGCGTTCTCTAGCGCTTCGTATTTAATATCATTAAAAGCGAGGCGCACGAAGCACGTTCGAGTGATAAATAACTCCGAAAGTGAGACGGTGAAAAAAAAGAACGAGCACGATATCCCTCTAGGAATAATCCTGAAAGGAAGAAAGGGGGGTTGGTCGGCGGCGGAATGCCCGGCCGAAGGAGAATTAATGTGGGAAAACGTGGGGCCGGTGGTGGTCGGCTTGGATGGTTTTCGTCGCAATGAAGTCAGTGGCGCAAACGAGGGACCGAAATCGACGAGTCCGCGGCGAAACTTTTGCGCGGGGTGAATAGGAAAAACGCGGTGCACACGGGGGTGGGGAAAAAGGGAACCTACGCAGACGTAGCGCACAGGTCATTGCACTTGCATTCGGAGCCACGCGTTCAGCCGCGTGGTACCTTTCTGACTGTGCGCTGAAAGACATATACAGGGTTAGTCGACAGTTCAGGACTGCTGGAATATTTGGCAATATTGGATTAATGAATTGCAATTACGTAAATCAGAATATTACCAATTATTAACCTTTCACTTACATTTAGATTTATCCGAGCGAAAGTAGATAATACTTAGGAATTTCATAAACGCAGTTTATACGAACTGCTTTTCAAATATTAACCCTTTGAACTCTGTAGGCTCCAATATTGCACCAGTTATAATATTAAATATTTTAATGAATCAAAGAAACTACCTTAAAATTATTCGATTTTCTATACATCCAAATTTTGTACTGAGAAGGAAACTAAAAGATCGAAGGAATGTTATAGCATTTTTCATTTTCACTGGAGATACCATCAAAATTAGTTGCAATTGCTGATAAATTACAAAACCATATGGAGTGCTAAGGGTTAAACAGTTTCGGAAAATAGAGACATCATTTCTTCTGAACTGTTTACAAATAACGGAAACTACCATTAAACTAAATTTACGACCGCTACTACATATGACAATCGACAATATTGTCAAATTCAAGACAATAGATGAATCGGCCAATCTAAAATTGACTTGTAAATGGGATTTCGACAGGAGCGTGGGACATAATTTATATAAACAACGGTTTAGTCAGAATCCACCAGACACCGACGAATTTTGATTTTTGACTGCGATGGTTCCATCTAAGTTAATTTATTGGGAAAGGTGCTATGGCTAAATTCCTGATTATTGTTGACCATTTTTGTCTGAAACATTCTTTTCTATCACTTAGATTTTTTATTTGTATTTGACCTGTTTTTTCGTAGTTTTTTAAGGTTTCTAAGTGGAATTAAGTCACTTTGAGAATAAAGGGTTATTTTGTATTTATATATTTATTCGTGTGTATATTACGGTTGGAGTAATTACTCGGTCTTTATTAATGCTAGAACTACCAGATAGATCGAAGTGACCCATTCCTCATTTCTTCTTTCAGAATTATTGAAATTATACGAATGCTTCTTCGAGAAATGATTAATACTAGAACTACAGTGGAAATATGACTGGTTTCGGGTTTTTTGTTTCGCAATTATTGATATTTTCAAAGCATTGAATATTCGATAGGATCTTGAGAATAATCTATTGTTACTATGGTTTCTATGAAAAATGTTTAAAAATTAATTCACGTGCTCAGTAGTGGTAGTGTTAAGAATTATCGAATCAGAAGACTAACGTGAATAATTTATACGAGTTTATCACTAGTATTCATAAATACTTTAAATTTTAACGAAATAAACAATATTCTCTTTAGTTATTGAAGGGTTTACTTGTTCCTTCGTTTTTTTAGTGTAGAAAGCCCTTCTTCTTACAGCTTCTGAATACGTTGTATAATCATTTCAAAAGCCAAAATCTCCATTTTCTCAGTTTTTCTTTTTTAAACTTAACATTGACTTCCAAGCGACTCAAATATCAATTAAACTTAAAAAAACGTAAACAATAAAACATTGAAAAAAGGATATGCATGGGTCAAATATGACCCATCAGGATACTTAAGAAATAGCTTATGAATATGTTGTATAATAATTTCAAAAGCCAAAATCTCGATTTTCTCAGTTTTTTTTTCCTGCACTTAACATTGACTTCCAAGCGACTCATACACACACGCAACCCCTCATGTATCAGCGCGAGTGTGTTGCACACATTAGTCTTGTATAATCATACATTGTGTACCTACTTAACGTTTTTGTTTCACGACGATTGGACTTACATTGTAGTTAGCAACCGATTTGAATCGCAAGTGCGGCGTATAATAATGGTGTAACGTAGCACCTGAACTCGTCGACAGCTGAATTTACGGTGCGAATGTACTGTAACGAGCACTCCCGTAGCTATTTCAGAGAGCCTTGCATTCAGTCTCGTTCCCACAAATTCTCAAAACACATTAACCCGTTGCCTTCTAATACCGTCTCAGACTCGCGATGAACATTTTAAACCGAGTTTAATCCTTTGCATTCGAGAACTGACTCTCACTCATTGCTGGATTTCAGACAGTAAAACTATCAAATTTGATATTTAATATTACACTTCGTATAATGCAATTTGAGAAATATTGAAATGAAATAGCTTTGTTCTTCAACCCTTCAAATATTACTCGATTCCTTTGAATTCAAATGAAATATTATTCTTCTAATATCAATTATTATATTATATAGCAAATATATGCATAAAATATGCAGGCTTAAAATATGCAATTTGTCTTTCTTCAGTAAATTATTAATAACAAATTATTGTACCAATCACACTAGAGAAATGTACCATAAAGCAAGCTTATGATAGCGTATAATCCTCGCGCAAGTTATTTCCGTCCACGTTCGATGTATTCATCGGTTCATACATTTAACCCTTTCGTCGGAACAATTTAAAAATAGCATTTGGCTTATCGGTTGAATATTAGATAACGCGTGATTGATTCCGCGAAGCGCGACAACACAATATTGCGTAACGGCAATTATTACATTACCGGCTGATATAATGTTACACGTGTAGCAGTGGAAACATAATGCTCCGACGAGCGACGAAGGAAAACAGTGGTTATTCATTCGCGCAATTCTGTTTGAATTGTATATCAGTTTATAGGGAAACTCCGGTGAAAAGACGGTATATTACTTGGACGAACGGAAAGGTTTTCCCTGGGAATTATATAGAAAAGAAAATAATCTAAGTGAAGTTGTCGAGGAAACAGCGCGGTAGCCGGTTTCTTATTAACATTGAAACATTAAACGTCAAGATGTACTTCTATATTCCAGCGAATTAATTAACGAATAGAAATCTAACTCTTAAAACGGACCCAACCGCGAATGTCTCGGAGTAAAAAAGATGGAACCCGCGCTACGTTTTCATAAAGATTAAACGTTACCTGGACTTAATACGAATATCGATCGCCGGATTTTTCAGCGATAATACATATTCCGTTCAGCTATAAACGAATTTTATTGGCCGTAGGAAGATTGCCGTTTCCATTATTGAAATACTCGGATAATAAAAATTATTGGGGGCAAATTTCTTTATCCCGACTTGGAATTTAGAACTCGGAATTTAAATTACATCGTTGTTTTTATGCAAATTCCTCAGAGGTCAAAGTGCACGCGAGTCTGTACAGGTAGAATCTTTAGAACTTTACATAGTAGAAAGTATAGAACATTTAATCCGGTTATCGTAAGAGGATTTTTCATTCGATCGGAAATCATTATTGTAGTTGTATTCGTTATCGAAAAGTAAGGATACTTGGAAGTCATTGATGAGAAATGAGAAAGAAGTTTCACTTATTTCTTTTGTAGAGAAGAAATGATAAATGTAATTTGCCACGTGGTGAATGTTGAGTGAATTCGTTTAGGTTTAATTACTAGTATAATCATTATAATAGCTAGAATAATCTATTGTTACAATTTTTATAGGGATCACTTATTAATCGTATTAAATGCTCGGTAGTTCTAGTGTTAATTAACAGTCCAAGCAGTTGATTTCGATTCTTTTGTTTCGCAATTATTGATACCTTAAAAGCATCGAATATTCCAAATGTTCTCGAAAATAGTTTCCCTTGAATACCTAAGCCTAAAATCACTAAAAATAATCTATCGTCAGAATTTTTATAGGGATCACATATCAATCATATTAAATGCTCGTTAATCCTGCTATTAAATAATAGATAAATCCTCACCTACATACTGACTTTTCTATCTACTAATCAAATCATTTCCCTGCGATTCACTCTCCGAAACGCACAAACTACATCGAAAATCCCACTCATCCTCAAACAGTTACTACATAAACACATGTACAATAGAACTATGCTACCCGCTCACCCCTAACTGCTTATCCCGCGTATACGTCGAACTCGATCCCGAATAACCTGAGAATCGATCTGAATTCCAGACGGCTTGAAACGCGCGCACCAGATCCTGCTGCAGTGGGCGAAGCACGCAGGTTCAAAGGACAACATCACCTTGGTTGTGGTCTTGTTATCCAACGCCAGCGAGATCGCAGCCAGGCCACTAAACGCCCATCCGTTCTATCGCATGCAAGTGGATGATATACTGGAGAAAATGAACTCGAAGGACAAACCGTTGTTCCTGGACATCGACGACGCACACAACGCGATCAACTCGAACATCCTGAAGCAGACCATGCTGTCGCAGGAGCCGCGTGACCACGCGGACGACGGCATCCTCGCCGCGAGCAACGGCAAACACGAGAACGGCGACGCGGATTACGATTACTCGGACCTAGGCCCGGAAACCGACGTAGACGCTATCGACGACGTGCCCACTCTACCCGTGAAGAATCTCTCCTACGAATTTTACAAGGACAACGACGCGAATCCCGACTCCGACATCAAGGACACCAACTTGCTGGACAACGTGGGCATCAATCAGACGCCGGACATCAACGTGAAATATCAGCCGGACGCGGAGAACAATTTACACGGGGACGACGACGACGACGACGACGAGGACGAGGACGAGGACGAGGACGAGGACGAGGACGAAGACGAGGACGAGGACGACAATAAAGTAATCGACGAATTCTCCACGCCGCAAGTGGTCCAGAAGGTAGCTCCGGAACTGATACGCGAGGACAATTTCGCGGTTCTTCATGACGTGGTCCGCGAGCTCATCGAGGAGAGCGCGGATGACGAGGAGATGCCGATGAAGAACGAGGACAGGATCGACGACGAGGCGCGTGACGTCGGCGAGCAGGGACCGGTGGACTACGACGACTCCCCGCCGTCGCCGCAGGATAACAGTAAGTCTGAATCAAAAATTAAGCCGCGATTCTACCGGCGCGTTCCGTATTGGATACTCAGGTGCGCGTTCTTCTTCGGGAAGCTGGTTTTCTTCGGTTTCGTGTCGGTCTACGATTTTTCGAGGTATTGAATAGGATGCTCGGTTACTTGGATGGGGGATCTTGATGTTGAAAGTCGGGATGGTTTTGTTGATGCAATTGTCACAGTTCGTGGTTAACACGTTGACGGTTTGAGATCGGCGGAGGGGAAAAGTAATTTTGTTCTGTTGGGTAACACGTTGCCGGCCTAATGGGGCACTTTTAGTCTGTCGCTTAATTGCGTATATTAATGTAACACGTTAGATACATATAACAAAAATCCAAAACAGTGGCGACTCGTAGCTAAAATTAGTGGGGCTGCTCCAGAAAATGTTTAGCTCTTGTTTTAAAATGTTTGTTTCTTTTTCCTAAACTGGGGGATGGCTACTGATATTAAGCTTAAGGATTATATATTGTACAAGTATAAAGAAAGGATTGAAGAAAAAAGGAGTCATTATATTAAATGTTATCGATAATATCAAGTGGAAATTGGGGGTGCTGCAATTGCACAGTGTCCATACACGAGCCGCCACCGATCTAAAGTAAACTTACAAAATCGAATCCCTTATTCTTTTTCGTAAGTTCAAAATTTCGGTTTCATTTCTGGTAGCTGAAATTTCGCTCATAGTGAAGATTTCCAATATGATTCGACAAACATAAATATTACTCAATCCATTCAAATTAAAAGTAAATATTATTGTTTTGTTATCAATTGTCGTACTTAACAGAGAACATAGACGTAGGATATGCCTACAATTTTTCTCTTTTTCCAATAAATTATTAATGCCAAAGTAGTATCGATCAAAATTGAGAAAGAAATCCTAAAGCAAGGGATTAGTAACTACACACTTGTGGCTCTCGCAAATAAATTTTAAAAAATTCGGTTTAAGTAACTCATAAGCAAAATATAAACGAAGTTTCCGTGGCACGGAACGTGTTAATTGATTATTTGGAAATAAGATCGAGATTTCATATTTCCAGAGTAAAATCAGTACATTTTTTTATTCGTAATGCTGGGAATAGGGGACGGCCATTGCTGTTATTGGCACATTCGTGAGCATTGGACGACTATAATGATATTTACGTCAACGTGTTAATACACGGTGAATGTTAGTGAGTAGAGTTTTGTTTTGTTTTGTTTTGTTTAGGCATTAACACGTCGACTGCCACAAGAATTCCTATCGTTCTAAACAGTGATACTTATTCATTAATAACAATGGCAAATGATATTGAAAATAATTATTAATGACTTCGTATTACAGTAGTCATATTACGCTATGATCTAGCTACTTATATTACTAAATATTTTTATCTAAAATCAAGTTTTTTATCGTAACTATTCTCCAGCAATTTGGAAGCTCCGGTCATCACTGACCACCGTGGCAGTCAACACGTTAAAGCCGTTTCAGAGTTTCGTATGATATTTTGTACAATCGAGAGGAAGATGAATATTTAGCTGAATGATGTGTTAGGTGTATGTAGTGTTTCTTTAGTTTTCTCGTTGTCTTTGATTTCTTTCTGTTTTGTCATTTATTATTGTGGAGAATCGTGATATGTGAGTTTTCTGGAGAGATATGTGATCGTTGTGTAAATTAAGTGGATGTACAAGTCCTAATTGGAATTGTGTATTAGGGAAATGGCTTCTTCGTGCTTCCATGGTAACAAAGGGCACATTTTTAGCAGTGTGAAGTATTTCTAGGTTGGGTAAGTTGTTGATTAGCAAGGCCATTTTTATTTGTTTAATCCCTTCGTGGTTAATTTTTATTTGATACGGCTGATAAGATTTTGTTACTATTTTCACGGTTGAAACTGAAATTTGGAGAAGGAAATGTAAAATGAAGATGTTAGTACCAGCTATCGGTAAAACAGGTTTCTAATTTTCTCTTTTAAGTTTACAATGTCGGGTAATTTGAGCTATTCATGTTCTTTAAGACTCCTAGAGAAATATACACATTGTAACATATATTTAAAGTGAATGCACAGCGTGTATGTTCATGATGACTCAAACAATATGAAGGTTAATGCGAGAAACGTCACTCATTGCTTTGAATAAATACCACACCTCAATAAGCGGTGATTTCAACACTACAAGGGTTGGAATCTGTGCATTAGAACATACAAATATTTTAAACATCCAATTCTATTATTTTCATTGGATTAGTT